TCACGATGGATTGGGCAGCCGGCACCTGGTTCTGTGGCTGATCCCAGTGTGAGGTTGGCGTTCTACCGTCGAGCTCTTGACAGCTTGACCCCTTCTGATGTGTTTTGGACACCTTTCCATCAGAGGCCTCATCAGGCAGTGCGTCGCTCTTTGTACACTGGAGTGATTCGGTTCGCTGATATAGGCGAGTTCTATGATCCAACCCGTTGCCTCCGAAAGTTTGGATACCGACAGATGGTACCGCCTCCCCCTTCGCGTCCTCAGCGAGCAGACCGACCAGAGGTACCTGGTGGATATGTCATTCGGATTCCTGAGAGTTTTGATGCTGCATGGGATGCTCTGCTATCCCACATGGTTCATATAGACATGTACTCTCAGCCCTGGAGGACGTATCCATATGAGACTACGATCGACTATCTTGACTGGTTCGTGGCGTACTCTCATTGTAGAGTCCTACGGGATGATGGAGATGCAGATCGACTAGTTGACTCCGCAGCGGTAAGATTTGACCACTAGACCGTTACTCTATTATAAATATACTTAGCGTGAAACTAACAATTGTTATTGTTTTTTTTTTTTTGTGCAGCGTGCTCGCGACCTTTTGTACACGTTTGCATCTGCGGTTCGAGCAGCAGCAGGGACCGAGGAGGAGTTTCTTGAGCATTCTCGGCGAGCCTACAGGGCACTGCACGGAGTGCAGGATGTGTGGACTTAGTACTGGGTCTCCCAGGGACTCCCCCCTCCAGGGGATTTTTAGTTGTTTTGATGTTTAGATCGGATGTTTATGTTTAGACTGCATGTTTGCATATTTATGTTTAAATCGGATGTTTGACTACTTATGTATGTTTGGATCAGATGTTTATGTTTAGACTGCATGTTTGCATATTTATGTTTAAATCGGATGTTTGACTACTTATGTATGTTTGGATCAGATGTTTATGTTTAGACTGCATGTTTCCATGTTTATGTTTAGATCGGATGTTTGACTACTTATGTTTGGATCGGACGTTTTCACACTCATGATTAAAATATCGAGGGTAGATAATGAAATCCATAATGAAATCCATAAGTTCATGATGATAATGAAATCCATAATGAAATCCATAAGTTCATAATGACACTAGGGTCATTTAAAATACAACTAGAAAAACAACAACATATAAATAGAGCATCGCAACACTATGCATTGCTCCTACCCCTACCCCTTCCCCTAGCTCTTCGGGGGTCTCTCTGCCTGGCTCGCTGCCGACCACCAAGACTCGCAAACAAATTTTGTCCAACCTCGCGAATAGCTCCCCACTCCGCCACATTAGGATTTGCTAGCCCATGCCAAATTGGATGCAGAGGGGGTATGGGAAACTGATCCTGGTTGAAGTACAATCGAATATAGTGGTTGTTCACATAGTGCAGTGATAAGAACATGGTTGGTGGCAAAGTACCTGGGTCCGCATCAATAGGCAATACAGTATAGGCATCATCGTAGCGGTTGGGTAGTGGACGGTTTGCATTATTGACATCAAACACCTGGTATGTGAAGACCATGGCTGCGATGTTGTAGATGGTGGCAAACACGAACAAGTTCTCAGAATCCATCCATCGCCCCAGTGGTGCGGAACCCGCCTCGAGCCAATTGATGCGGTCAATGTGAGCTAGTGGACCACCATTATACAAGTTCTCGTACTTCCAGAAATGTTGTTGGATTTCTTGGACAATCGTCGATCTCATGAGTAGATAGTGACTATCATCCCCATAAATACAATGAGAAAGTGTCCTAAAACCACAATGGCCGTCTGGACTAGGGTTGAAATCGCCTACCAGCAAAGGTCGAACAAACTCTGGAAAAAGCTCATCGATGTAAGGGTAAGAATATTGCCCGGGGGGGGCTCTGGGATGAGTAATCTACAAAAATATACCATACAGTCAAAATTACTTGGACAAAATTTACAAACATAAACCAATTACTACTAGATGGACTATAATATTTAACCAATTACTCACCTGTATCATGCTCGTCGGATTCACCTCCACTCGATCGCCCCCTGCCTCCACTCGATCGGGATCTGCCTCCATTCGATCGCCCCCTGCCTCCACTCGAACCAGGCCCAGTACTCCTCGAACGAGACCTCTCATAATATGAACGAATGAGACTGGTGCTTGTTCGAGGCCGTCCTCTCAGATTCTCATTCACTTCCGGTTCCCTCACATTGTCCTCTGATGGGTGAAGCCCATAGAATAGGGCATCTCTTGCTTGTCTCACTGCTTCAGGACCTCTTTCTTCCACCTCAACAGTAAGACGCCTAAAGTGTTCTCGTTGAAGCTCAATTTCATCATTGACTTGTTGTTGACGTGGGGGGTTTTTATAATCCAAAGTCCGCCAAAATACATGCAACTCTTGAGCATAGAATTGACGTCCTTCTTCCTTAGCTTGAACAACCTGGCAAGCACACTTGAGCCCATGTGTCATCTGAAAATGACACGCACAACTGTCATTCAACTCCGCCGCCCCATCTAACATCAGTCTGAAACTGGCAACCAGTACCCTTCGAACTAATATTCCCACGCGTCTCCTTCGTAGGGTATGGTTTATAAGACTTAACGATCCTACTGCTTCTGTCGCAATACATACAGAGGGCAGTAACAGGATGTAGTCCAGCAGTATTCGGTTTCCATGCTCCTCTAACAATAAAGAACCCACACTCCTGAGCGATTGCTTTTGCAGCTAACTCATCTAACTTCACACTTGCATAATGGATCCCATTCTCAAATTCTGCTGTGTAATCATGATCGGCCGGTAACCACTCTGACATTTTTCCTACAATTACAATATAACACATCAATATTCCTGTGAACCTAAACGCTAACTTCAACTCTTAACCGCTAAATTCAACTCCTAAACTCTAAATTCAACTCCTAAACGCTAATTTCAAGTCTTAACCGCTAGATTCAACTCCTAAACGCTAAATTCAACTCCTAAACTCTAAATTCAACTCCTAAAATCGAATTTTTCCGAAAAATTCCAAACACAGACGGTGGGCCGAAAATTTCCGGCGGCCGGAACCTGGCCGGGCCGACGGAAATCGGTGGCCGGAGCCAGCCTGAGCCGAAAATATTTTGTGGCTCAGCCAGGCTCCGGCCACCAATTTCCGTCGGCCCGGCCAGGTTCCGGCCGCCGGAAATTTTCGGCCCACCTTCTGTTCGTTGCAAATCGTCGGAAAAATTGTTCGAAACTACAAAAAATTGACGCACCTGCTTAGTGATGATTCATGGATGCGTGTCCGCAGTTTACGTCGAGGATAGGCTTTCCCGATGGTTTTTCGGCGACTTTTCCGGCGAGCGTCGATTTTTTCAGATTCAATACGTTTTCTGAAAGTTGAATATGTTGTAGATTGTGAAACTTCTTAACCAAAGATGTACATATATAGTTTTTTTTTAGTTGGCGGCAAATAGCAATTTTTTTGGCGGCAAATAGCAAGCCCCGAGTACATAACCCTTGGTGTTTTGCATTTGTGCAAAATCAAATTTGGTCCTTTGGTTTTTAGTCAGGTTGGATCTTAGAGGTGCATGAAAGTAAATTTTTTTTTCTTACTACTTTTAATTGGCATGTAATTTTTTTTTTTTTTGCACAAATGAGACAGGTTCATTATGATCTACAATTATGCACGATAAGTATTCATTTATAAGTCTTGGAGGCCTTGTGAAATATCCTCCAATTATACCAAATAACTTGATAATCAGTAATCACAGTGTGATAAAAACATTAGACATTCCATTAATAGCATGACCGGGCTTGGTCGTATAATATCAAAGTGTTTTCCTGGCGAAAAAAACTAGACAAAACATAATTGAATTTGCATGTTTGACTTTTTACCAAACGATTAACAAACATGGTTCACACTTCTTTGAATAAAGTTCTAATAAGAGTTTTCAATATTTTGATGAACAACAGTACAAACCTAAATTACATTAAATCTACTCCTATGGAGGTTCAGTGGAAGCTTCAAAACTACAACTATGGCTATGACTACATTTGCAAAGGAAAAGCTAAAGATAAAGATAAAGTTTGACAATAGGTTGTCTAGTGTGATTTTTGCGACCCCTTTCTCTTTCATCTTCCCCTCCTATTTATAGTCACAAGAAGTAACTACCTTAAAAAACCTCTCTTTTGACGTGGAGCAACGGTTACCTTCCGAACGACTCTGACGATGTCCTGACGTCGAATGTGCCACCTCTTCAGTATTGGCCCCTTCCTCTTGATAGTGTTTCCTTAGTTTTGCTTGTGAGTTGAGAAAAATGACGAAGACATGAAGAGCCCCTTGCCACATGTGGGTGGGTACTCGAATCACACGGGTAAAACTGGCAAAAATTAACCTGTCTCCATCACATCAGGAGGCCTCCGTTCCTGGACTACAGACTTAGCCAAATTTCACTCAAGATAATCACCTCCTGATCATACCACGAGGGTTGTTGATGACCATCTCTGGCCATACCATGGGGTCACCTTGTCTCGCCTAATTGGCCATCCATCCCCTTTAATCACACTCTAGCTATCACTCCATCATACCATCCCTCCTGCGCTGATCACCCCCCTTGCTACTTCATGTGGTGAGAGGGTGGCGGTATGTCAATCACCTCCTCACCACATCATGTGGGTTTCTTAAACACTTAACCAAATTTTGGAATAAATTACCAAAGTGGGCATGATGGTATGTGGTTATGAGCTCAAAAATCCAATCCATGTGACCCACTTAATTTATTTAAACAATTATAATAAAATTGGTTTTATATAGCCATTTAATCATTTGTATTTAACCGATGTGGTACAAAGTGAATTTTTAGGGTAAACACAAAGACCCTACGATCCATCGACAATCTTCTTGCCCAAACCATCCCCACACAACTAGCTGGCTAGCTAGGAACTTCTAATACAACCGTCGCTAAACATCTTCTTTTTTTCTTCTAGTACCGGATCTGGTTTATTACTACACACACACACGATCAATCTAGGCTCTCTTTCTGGAAATCTTTATGCCCTTCCAACGAGACTCCATGCGACGAGAAGCTTTCCGTTGCGCGTACACCCCACATTTGAACGCATGATGTTTGCCCCCGCGGCCAACAACCTCCAGCTTGAGCACATTATTAATGTAAACCCGGATCTTCCCTGAATCGAAATCGTCGATCACGTTCAGCTTGAACCACTTGTCGTAGACATCCGCGAGCACGACTGGACCTTTGCTGTAGTAACGAAGGCTGCCACCGTAAACCATGAGCATCAATGAAGTCGCCCTCGGAGGTTTGCTACCAAACACTTGCATAATCGACACACCAGATGTCCCTTTCGGTACGTAACCATACGCTTCGAATTCCCATATGCCTGAGTTGTATCGATAACCCTACAGACCAAGAAACCCAAATTAATAAAACAAAAAGAGATGGTATTATCAGGGGGAAAAAAGATGTTAGTACATGTAGTATATGATCCACTAACGCGAACCTCTCTCCACGATTCAAGTTATTGGAACTAACTGGTTTATAATAAGTTACGTGTGTTGAGGTTAGACGTTCTAACCAGAATAGCGATCTCGGTGCGGGGCTTGGTCCTGCTGGTGCGGGAGTGGGGCTTGTCGGTGGAGTAAACCCAGCACTTGTGGACTCCATTGACGAAGTTGTACCGCTTCTTCTCAGGCAAATTGTAAGGGCTCTGGATGTGGTAGTAGGAGGGATTGAAGGGCAAGGAAACGAAGCTTTTGGTGGGATCGTGAGCTGATTGGCAAGGCAATAGGATAGCTAGTAAATGGAACAAACATCCAATCACTAAACTGCACGCGTTTAGTCTCATCGTAACTCCTGTCACGTAGCGACAAATCAGAGTTAATTGACAATACAAGAAAGTATGTTCGAAAAACTTGGAGGAAATGTGCTACTGATGATGACTGATGAGAAACTATGGGGAAGATTGTAGAGCATTATATAGAAGCTGGGATTGGGTCTTAATAGGGGTTTTTTTTTATTATTATTCACCACTTTTAATTAATTACTGATTAGGTCACGATAAGGTGATAAGGGAATGAGTCAAAATTAATTAATTAGCCGCTATAGTTGCTCGAGGCGTTGGAATTTTGTAGTTTGGAACGGCATGCATGTCAACTATTGATTATGTGTGGAATTATGTTTTCTTCACTATGGAATATTGAAATTTGACTAATCTCTTCGTGTACTGAATAGCGGTTTCTGATATATGCTAAATGCTAAATGTTAAATCACATGTATGTAATTAATTATAGTAGAGTTAGCTAGCTAGCTAGTATTCATTTCATTGATTAGTTTGAAAATAGCGATAGAAGACTAGAAGGACTATTTCATACACCTTAGGGGCTATTAATTAGGACGGCAAAGGATCGGATTGGATGGAGTTGAGTATCCGCGTGCCTATTTTAATTAGTTCGGTTTTTGTTCATATCCATGACCTAGAGTAGGTAGCATTTGTGTATAATCAAATTTGGCTCTTGAATTTGATTGAGATGTGATTGAAGAGTGGAGATGAAAAACATTTTATTTTTCATTTTTTAATCGATTTATATCTTCTTTGTTTTAACCTGTGCACTCATAGAAAAATTTCATTGTGACATCTATAAAATTGTGTTCATTTTTTATATATTATGAGAAAATAATTTCGTAGCACCCATTACTACTCGTTTCCACCCTGATATAGGGTGGTATATATGGTCTTGAAATTTTCTCCCCATCAATTTGTAGATCATTGTATAGGCCATAGGGTCATACATGGTGGTTAGTAGGGTATGCAATGGTATGGTCTAGATCAGGCCAAACTCAAGATACGGTCCAATAGTAAAAGACATTTCAGGACCAAGGACCGGGCCGACAGTGCATTCAGTCCGCTTTGGTATGTCAATTTGGTCCTTTTTTTAGTATGTGTAAAATTCATGGGACCGAGGACCGGACCATATTATATTCGATTCGTTCTGGTTCGATCCATAAATCCGTTACGGAAAACCCGTTGACACCCCTAGTGGCTAGTATATTTCTACAATCATATGTACAACCTGTTTACACTGCAATATATTTATATCACCATGGTATATAATCTTATGTACTAGCTAGCAAACATTACCACGCTAGTATAGAAAGGTAATATATGCATTATTTTTTTTTTTGTTATAAAATATATCAATGAGGGTTCCATTTTAAAGAGTACAATTAAATGAATTAATTTGATTTGTTTTAGTAAATTTATGAATTTCTACTTAAAATGAAAGAGATATAACCTGTTAAGTTTGATTGAAAAAATTTATGCATAATCAGTAACCAACCATGTTACTGACCGAATCCACTCCCCATACTCATACTCATATAAGATTCGGATAAAAAAACATATTTTCTCGGATTCAGTATAATCGTGAACACATTCATGAATAACAATTTTTATTTATCATCTCAACTAATGTGTTACTAATCAAGAGCATATATTAACGTTATATGCAAAGATATTCTTGAGTTGAGACTCATTCCATCTCATGCATTCCTCTCCCGTTAATACGACAGACAAACGAACATGAATGACCATTTTTAATCCACTCACAAGTCACACGACAATGGAAGCAAAACAGTCTCTGCCTCTTTGTTGCTATTTTTAATCCAATTGAAAATTTGTCCCCTTGTGAAATACATTCTTCCCAATGACTTCGTCTTTGTTCCTTTTTTTTCCCCTACTTCTTTTGGATGCCATGCTGAAGAGAATTATGAATGGATTTATTGGAATTTACTTGTATTTGCTTCTGCCCAAGGTTGTCAACCCGCGGGTTGACCTACGGGTCGACCCAATTTAACCCTGCCCGGTGAAAAAAACGGAGTTGGAGGTCAAATTGTGTCATTTTTTCTTTAGTTTGCGAAATGCGCCTATTTTCCAATTTTTCTTTTCGCCTAACTCAATCTTTGGAATACTAAGTTGAACATTTGAATATTTATATTATATAAGTGTGTGTGAATTTTCACTATATGTTGGATCTAAGTACGATATGTATTATATGTTATAACTCATATGTTAGATAAGATTTGATATAATTAATGAGGATAAGTGCAATATAATGACTCTTTCTATATTTCCGGGCCAAACCGAGCTAAAACGGTTGACCCATTAACCCTTAACCCACTAGCTCGACCGGGTCCGGGTCAACCCGCGGGTTGACAACCTTGCTTCTGCCTAGACACCCTAGGTGTTCATCAATGAAAAGCGTTTGATTCGAGAACATTTTATTTGATATTTATGGATTTTTTGATCAAATGAATCCGTTTGTGAATCAACTACTGTTGTTTAATAAAAAGTGTATTTGAGTTGTATTTTGTTCAAATTGATTGTCTCGTTATGTTACTCATTTGCTAATGAATTGAGTTTGTGTTTATACTGATGTTTAAAACTATCAAGTACATTTTAGTTGAATGGGATTATCTCAGTATCTCATAGATGACTGAATTGAGATCACTGTTTGTGTGCTCCTTGTATATACTTTTCGTTGTGGTATTATGTCTATTTAGAATATTGTTATAGTTAGCCTTCAAATTTTCGAGAATGAAGTTGACCTACAATCGAACTATTAAGTTCGGTTTTAAATTGTTAAATTCGCTTGCCAAATCGAGTTAAACTCAATCCACCATTCGTACAAATGAGAAGGAATTCCAGTTAAATTTGTATAATTTTTAGGTATCAAATTCATGACAAATTCCATGAATCAAACGAGGCCTAAAACTCGTGTCAAACCCACCAAGAGATTTCATATACTATATTTTAACCAATCTCAAGCTCTGAATAAGTAGGTTCAGATAAATATGGACACATGAAAATATCGCCCATCTGTTGAGTCAGGCCCAAATCTATATCAGTTGAGCTTACTCAACGGGCTGAATCAATCTTTTCGAGTCATTGGTGGGTCAGAAATCCAAATCCTCAAAGAGCCCACAAGGCCACAACCAATTCAACAAAGAACGAGAACTTGATTAAACTCATTACACAGTGAAAATGAAAACCCCCCTACATCTAAATCATGACCATAATCATCTACAAACATAATGCAGAAACCATCCCTCCCTACCACAATTTTCCTTCTTTTTACAGTTGATGAACTTGGATGCAATCATTTCAGTCCCGTGAAACCAATTTTCAGCTCCCCTCCATCTCTACGAGATAGAGTGTCTCCTGCGCCTCGAAGATGAGCCAGACGACTTGACCTCTCCAACAGCAATGGAACTCGGGCTCTCTGAACTCCCTGAAGTCACTGAGCTCTTGCTCTCCACATTCCCTCCCCACAACTTATCAAATATCCTCCTCGATCGAGAAGGCAGCAGCTGCAGTCCACTCTTGCTGTTCTTGCTCGCGTTCTTCTTCATCACATGACTCCCATTCCTCTGCTTCTCACCCCCATCTGCGGTAGCAACCTTCACTTTCAAGCTCATCTGCTTCTCAAGGCCCTTGCAACCTTCCTCGTCGGTGTTCGAAGTGTAATTAGAGTTGTCGTTATTGAGGCTGCTTCGAGCATTTGCTGCTGCTGCTACTGCCGCTGCTGCTCTCACTTGCTCGAAGAAGAGAACTTGGACCACAAGTCGGAGAGGGAGACGTTCGTTCTGTGCTGCGTGCATGGAAGCATCCGGTGTGAGCTTCTTCACATCCATTACCCCACATAACTTCTTCCTCTCATCCTTGCTCAAACCTGGATGCTCCTGAAATAACACTTAAGAAAAAGAACTCAGTAGCTACCTTTACAAATTCGTTAGCTTGGCAAGCAAGAAAACTCAAAATAAGAGGATTAGCTAAGCTACATACCTTCAAGTAGATGTCAATGGCCTTGTATAGCCCATCGTGGATAGGCCTAGCAGGCTCAGGAATAGAACGAGACAGTTCTACGAAGCTGTCGAGGTCCACATTGACATCATGAGCAATCTCTGCCAGATATCCATCGATCAATTGACCAACATACAGTAATGATCTGTGCCCAGGAGGGAACAGAAAGCTCTCTACTTCCCCACCATTCTTCTGGATGCTCAACTCTTGACAGCAATGCTTCTCGTTCATTGTCAGGAAATGATTTACAATACTTTGCACCAACTCAACGTCATAACGCGTAGTCTTAGGGGATTGTGCAGGGATCAACAAATCCTTAACGGAAACCTCGTGTAACTTTCCACCAACCCTTTCAACCAGATCTTCCCTCAGGGTATCATCAACTCCAGCAAAGATTGCAACTTTCAACAGTTTCAGTAAGAAGCTACAGGAACAGCCTGAAGTCTTATCATCAGGTAGAAGATGAATCAGGGTTTGTACAAGATACTTATGCCACGAGTTACTTGCATCGCAAGCCAAATCATTTAAGGACTCAGGTAACCATCTGACAGCATAACACTTCAGTGCCTCCCCCATCACGAAGCCGTCCATTCTTCCTTTCGATTTCACAGCAAGAATAACTCTCTTGTACATATCAATTTCCAGTTCACAGATATCTTCCACCCACCAATCCTTCGGAACAACAGCTTGATTCCTCTCTGCTACTATCTCATTATTGGCAACATTCGACTTCCTATTATATGTGTAGGACCAAGTAACGCTGGCAGGGTCCACTGAGGTCCTGGAAGCAATGGAATCAATGCACCTTCCAACAATCTTCAAATCTTCGGACCATGGCAGCAGAGACTTGGTCGTCTGAAGAACGATGATCGAATCTTTCCAGCTACGGAAGATACTAGAGTTGAGAAACACCTCGACCTTGAACACTAGGTTGCCTCGATCAACATCCTCGGTCATCTCAAGGTACTCTGCTGCACATCGAGCTGCAACAACGTTGTAAGCATTGAGAGTAACAGTCATGCCATAGCAGAATTTGGCACATATCTCAAATGCTTTGTATCCACCAGGGAATTCATCCATGTTTATCTCATCCGAGTTCTCCTCAGTTGCTTGGGCCAATAGTTTCTGCAACCGGATGCTCTTCGACAGGAGTGGGAACTGCTCAAAGGACAATAAAGTATCATCAGTAGATTGACAGCAATGCTTACAATCCGGTAGTTCTTTGTATGATTTACTGCAGTAAGTTTTCTTGTGCCATATACCTAGTACCATCTATGCTCTTGGAAATGTAAATAGAGTACTAGTTGCTACTGTGGGAATAGAGAAGCATAGTGAAGCATAGACCAGAAGGGGAATGAGAGCAGCTAGAAGCCAAGGTTTCATGATGACAGAGAAGAGACAAGAGTTACCTTGTGGAGGTAAAACTTAACTTCACCAACATTTATGGTGACATCTGTAGCCAGCTCGGATGACACATACCTACATTATACATTCAGCACAGTTACTTGTCATGTTAAGGCCTCCCAGAAAAGAGGGAACAATTCAATAATATTTGTCACCAGCAAACTGTAAGGTACAATCAATTAAATGCAGTCTCAGCAAACAGTACCAAAAGAGACTAAGACCAAGCAAGAAACCAGCAGAAACATGAAAGCTTGCTTCTCCCTGTAAATTACCAGACATATTATTGTGAACTGTTACCCAAAATCATCTAGCATTATTGTTGAAGATGAGAAAAGTAGAAATTCCTTATCTTTGTTCAATTTAACCAACTTTTACCTAGGGAAACCATACATTGTTTGACCAAACTACTTAGTCAAGGACGCTCTCTTTGATTTAACAACTAATCTCCATGGATACAATATTAGATAATCTATGATGTTTTTAGATTTCTAAATCTCGGATTGGTGAAAATAAGGCACCCTTTTGCTTCATGTTTACCCAAAAATCAATCACCTGCCTCCAAACCCCATTTGTTAAATAAATAATGAAAACGAGGATATCATGGCCCCTCACTTGCTAATCATCAGACCTTGCTTGAAAAATTGAAACTTTATATTAAAAGAGGGTACACAGCAGTAAAGTAGGTAGGATTAGAAAGATTTAATGTATTGTTTACTAAGTATTCTTTCTTCTTTAGAATGAGCAATTGTTTACCAAGTACAAAAGGGACGAATTAGCTGTGATGATAATAGATTAAGGACCTCTCACATGATGGCATTACCCATTTGGACCCATTAAAACTAGTATACACAAGAGAGTGAGAGGGACACTTGGAAAAGAAATTGCAGGACCACTATCAACTCTCTTCCCACCTTACTTTCCCAATCCTTTCGAGCAGGAACTAGCAGTTGAACAAACGACAGCAACAGCAGCAATAAGAAATTGGCAGATTCAAGTAATGAACAACTCAAACCAACAGCAGAAGTCTAAGAGATGAAAAACTGAACAGACAACCAGCAAGCAGAAGCTATTGTGTTTGGCGAAAGGAACAAAATTGGAAAGCGGGTAGCAAGTGTGGCAAGAAAGAAGGAAGCTTTCTGAACTTTTTTGGTCCAGGGCCACAGTAGAACATGGGGGAAAGTCACAAGAAAGCAGCAAAGAGAATGAACTAACACACCCAAAAAAAAAAAAAAAATGGAAGGCCTTGTAATTGGTTTACCTGATCGATTTGCCTTCAGCCTGGAAGGCATCCGGCTTGGACCCTAACTTCATAAACTTCATTGTTCAGTAACTTCTTAGCTCCACAAAGCTTTTCCCCCAACCCTCTTATGGAAAACAACAGAGTAAACCCACACCAGACAGAATGTTGATGAAGAAGATAACAAGAGGACAAGGCAGAGAGAGCCTCTCTGCAATCAGCTTCGTGGGTTCTTCTTCTTATGATAGAAAGGCCTTATCGTTCTTCTTTTTTGGGTTTCTCTCTGGCTATCTTCTCTCTCCAGAACGAGCTACCAGGAGACCATAATATGCACTGGACTGAGACAGACAACCTCTGCTACTAGCTGCTCTCTTTCTCCACCCTCTCTAAATCTCTCTCCACATTTTCAGAGAAGCCTCGAGTAGAGAGCTGTCCCCATTGAATTCGGACCACCCCACCAGCCCTATTAATGATGAGTAGTTAGACGAAGAAAGAAGCAGCAGCAAGCAAGAGACCGAACGAAGATGAAGAAAAAGATTGCAGCAGATTGGGGGGAAAGGAAGGGGAAAAAGTAAACAAGAAGCTAAGCTTGTTAGAAAAGTTGGTAGGTTGGCGGGGCTAGTAGTAGTAGCAGTAGTGTATTATGGTCAATAAGAAAATGGCGTCAGCGTCTTTGGTCCAGAGGAAGGGAAATGGGGTGAAGAAAGAAGTGAAGGAAAATTGGAGTGGAGAGAAGCAGAGAGAGAGAGGGAATAGGTTCTTGTTTGGAAAGATGGATGGATATCAATAAATTCGTTTCTCTGCCTTCGCCGGCCGCCTTTGCTTTTATATCAGCCTGATCCGCTGCCTGCAGCGGATCAGGCTGATATAAAAGCAAAGGCGGCCGGCGAAGGCAGAGAAACGAGCGGAAGATCTTTTCTATTTCTTCTTCCCTTTGTAAGGACGGGTTTTGAGGGAGCGCAAATCTCGATGATTCTTTTGGTTTGGTTTGGTTTGGTTCGGTTTGAACAATATGGAAGTTCAGTCTCTAATCTATATAGGGATAGAATGTGAGAAACTCGATATCAATGTTCGATCTAGTCTTCCTCTAATTATTGTTGAATGAGATTAAGTCTTTGGTGCACGCATATTTACAATTTATAAAGCTCATTGATGATGCTTAAGAAAACAAGCAGCACCTTAAGGTTGTCTTGGTATCTGAATGACATATGAGATGCACAAGTTGCTCACAACAACTTGAATTGTTATAGCCAACAACAGTAAGAGCAAGAAACCACGAATACTGAACATATGGTTATCACTTGGACACTTAAACTAAGAGAGTAGCATGTCGAACTCAATGCAACATGGAAAGGTATGAAAACTGGGTCGATGAAAATTGAGATTCGTGGTTCGAAAGAAGCTACCATTGCAAAAAGCAAGCAACCAACAATTAGGGAGACGATAGTTTGAGCACTGGAAAAACACGCAAAGGGGGGAATGGGAATGTCGATCATTAGTGTTCTTGCAAACCCAATCGCAAATACAGGAACAAAGAACAGGAATTGAAGACGCTCACAGAAAACGACAATTGATAGTCTCAAGCTTGGCCCATTACCTATATGTGTCATTAATTATGACGAATCAATTGAGAAACGCCATGAATACTCACTTTTTTTTATATAAGGGTGATATAGATTTCATTTTGTTGTCATTAAGGTACTACTTAAGGGATTCGAACCTGAGTCCTCCAGGTTCTAGGTTAGTGATATTACCACTGGGCCAAACCCTTATTCGTCCCATAAATACTCACTTTCAACACACGAAAAATGTTTTTTTTTTACGTAAATTCTTTCAAACTACCAACGATATATCTCAAACCTTACACCACTCCTTTATCACTTCACTAGCTATGCGTAGATTTACATTATCTCAAACATTTAGTCAATCATGCTATATACTATGTCACCTAACCACACTACACAACGTTGTGTCCCTGGCTCCAAAGACATGATTGATTGGATAAATACTCTTAACATCAAACAATTCACATGTGGATGTGGTCTCAATTCCTCAAACAGAAAACTCATCCCTTGAAAATACTCTTTTATCCTCTACTGCCACTACCATGAATTTGCATTGCACCCAACTCATCTCAAACCCTAGACCAAATGGATTATAAAGGTAGCTAGTGCTGAAATCGAAAAGATCCAAGCCCAATAAAAAATCCAGCCTCGTGACCTGTTGGGCCATCTCTCCATATCCAAGCCCACTATTAATCGAGAGCCCATCCGGCACAATCACAATAAAGAACGGTGAGGCGACCTTTCCCTGCCACCGACACGAGAGAACGAAAGACGGAAACGGAGAAAGAGACGTTATAACGTCTTCCTCACTCCTCCTCGGATCCAGTCCCAGTCCCCGAAGTTTTGTTTAATTATTTAATAATTTATTTATTTCCCGATTTATTTTTTGAGTTAATTTTTTTTTTGACAATCGGCTTGGTTGACCCTCTTCTTTCTCTCTAACTCCGTCGTTTTAATTTTTTTTTTAAAATGTTTTTTTAATTTTATGGTATCGAGTCACCCAACAACAGAAAAGCAAATCCCCCGTACTACTCCTTCTCTTCCCTCTCTATATCTCACCCCCGACCTCTCCAGATCTGCGAACGCACCACCGTCTCCCTTCTTCTTCTCCTTCTTCTTCTTCTCTGAATCTCGTCGAAGAAAAAAGGGGGAGCCCTCCCGTTTCTTCTTCAATGGCGCCTGCAGGAGGAAGATGCAGAAGATCGCCTTCTCCATTTCTCGCCGCCCCGATCTCCACTCTCCTCCTCCTCTCGCTTCTCGTCCATGGCGCTCGCTCCTTCTACCTCCCCGGTGTCGCTCCCGAGGATTTCATCAAGGTTTTCTTCTCTCTCTCTCTCTCTCTCTCTCTCTCTCTTTCTCCATTGATCTGCACTTAATGTACTCCGATCTGCTTGCCTGTTCCCTGTTAAATTTGGTCTTGGGGCGAAGGTGCTTAGTAACGGATCCTACAGTTTCTGAATCTCAGCTATTGGATGGCATTTAGGAGATTTCCCTGTGCATGCTCCGGATTAGTTCCTTTGCAGTACTGGCTCTTGTTTACCGGTTTAGTATTGATTTCAACTCGGATTTGGGAGAGTTGGGCTTGAAGCAGCACCTAAATGTGCTCTAGGATTGACTTCAACTAGATTGAACACTGAATACTGTTGGTTATTGCTGCATCTGTTCGTCGATGCTTGAATTCTGAATACCGAGTACCGAGTTTTAGCTGAACGGGGAATTGATTCTCTTGGATCTTCTCGTGGGAAATAGTGGAGGCTGTTTTGGGGGGGCAGAGCTGGTGGAAGGTTTCCACCAACAAGTGACTTTGATGGTGTGGGAATTTTGTATTCTGATATCTCCAATTGGTCTTTGACTGCAGGGAGATGAGTTGAGAGTGAAGGTGAACAAGCTGACGTCTATCAAGACGCAGCTTCCTTACTCTTTCTATTCTCTGCCCTTCTGCCGCCCAGGCAAGATCGTGGACAGTGCAGAGAATCTCGGTGAAGTTCTTCGCGGTGACCGAATTGAGAACTCTCCCTATGTGGTAAGCATCAATTTGGGGGTTGGTTATGTGAGGTTAGATTGACTTTGGCCATTGTTTTTGTTTGGGAACCCAACTCATTTTCGTTGAACTGTTATTCGTTGCAGTTTAAAATGAGGGAACCAAAAATGTGCAATGTTCTTTGCCGGGTTAACCTTGATGCTAAGACTGCTAAGGCGTTTAAGGAGAAGATCGATGACGAATACAGGGTCAACATGTAAGATTTCCTTTGCTCAACAAAGCATGGGCCTACATTATCACTGTTCCAAAGCTGTTTGGAGTTATCCTTAACTGTCCGTCATGTGTGTAACAGGATCCTTGATAATCTGCCTCTTGTGGTTGCAATAAGGAGGCTGGATCAGGAGTCACCTACTATCTTTCAACTTGGTTACCATGTTGGATTCAAAGGCCAATACAGTGGGGTAAATGGACAGTTCTTAAAACTTTGTTTTTGTTTATGCCAGTCTTGTTATTGCTTTGTCTTACAGTTTCTGATTGTACGCAGAGCAAAGAGGAAAAATATTTCATCCACAACCACTTAGCATTCACTGTAAAGTTTCACAGAGACTTGCAAACTGACTCTGCAAGAATTGTGGGTTTTGAAGTGAAGCCATACAGGTCGGATATTCAAGTTCCTTTCCTTACTGCTTCATTCTGGGTGTTCTGTGCATCAATTTCTCTTGTACCATTTTAGCTTACCGCCGCTGTCCTGACCCGAGCATTACACTTTCCAGTATTAAGCACGAATATGAGGGGAAATGGGCCGAGGATAAGACACGTCTAACCACCTGTGATCCTCATACTAAGCGTACTGTTATCAACTCCAACACTCCTCAGGAAGTTGATGACAAAAAGGAAATTGTTTTCACTTATGATGTTGAATTCCAGGTGAGCTTTTCCTTGAATTCTGTGATGCAGATATATTATTTTTCTCCTGGCTTAGATGATAGAAATGTAGCAGGGTGCATGCTGGTTCTCCTAATTCGAATACTGATATATAATCTCTTTCCAGGAGAGCGATGTGAAATGGGCATCAAGATGGGATGCATATCTTCTTATGAGTGATGATCAAATCCACTGGTTTTCAATCGTCAACTCCTTGATGATTGTTCTCTTCCTCTCAGGCATGGTAGCAATGATCATGTTGAGGACACTTTACCGCGACATCTCCAAGTACAACGAACTAGAGACCCAAGAAGAGGCTCAAGAAGAGACCGGATGGAAACTCGTCCATGGCGATGTTTTCAGGCCACCAATGAACTCGGAACTACTCTGTGTCTATGTTGGAACTGGTGTCCAGTTCTTCTGCATGATCGTTGTCACTATGCTCTTTGCCATTCTCGGGTTCCTCTCCCCATCAAACCGAGGTGGCCTCATGACAGCCATGCTTTTGCTCTGGGTCTTCATGGGCCTGTTTGCTGGATACGCATCTTCCCGTCTCTACAAGCTATTTAAAGGTGGCGAATGGAAGAAAATTGCTCTCCGAACTGCAATCATGTTCCCTGGGATCATCTCTGCCATCTTCTTCGTCCTGAACGCTCTCATATGGGGCCAGAAGTCATCCGGAGCTGTCCCCTTCGGCACTATGTTCGCTTTGGTGTTCTTGTGGTTTGGTATCTCGGTCCCACTCGTCTTTGTCGGAAGCTATATTGGATTCAAGAAGCCAGCTCTGGAAGATCCAGTAAAGACCAACAAAATCCCCAGACAGATTCCGGAGCAAGCTTGGTACATGAACCCTGCCTTCTCGATCCTGATCGGTGGAATACTCCCATTCGGAGCCGTCTTCATTGAGCTCTTCTTCATCCTCACCTCGATATGGCTGAACCAGTTCTACTACATCTTTGGATTCCTCTTCTTGGTGTTCATCATCCTCATCATCACCTGTGCTGAGATCACTGTCGTGCTCTGCTACTTCCAGCTGTGCAGCGAGGACTATCTGTGGTGGTGGAGATCTTACCTCACCTCAGGATCTTCTGCAGTCTACCTGTTCCTCTATGCCACGTTCTACTTCTTCACGAAGCTGGAAATCACGAAGCTAGTCTCTGGAGTGTTGTACTTTGGTTACATGCTGATCGCTTCGTATGCGTTCTTCGTCCTGACCGGCACAATCGGTTTCTATGCATGCTTCTGGTTCACGAGGCTCATCTACTCATCCGTCAAGATTGATTGATTGAATCATCATCCGGGTTTTGTAAGCGATCCTTCTGTGCTCCCCCCCATTCCTTTATTTTGAAGCCAAACAGGGTAAGATTCACAATTTTAGTAGATAAAAGTTAAGAATTGTTATCAGGTGTAAAACTCTTGTTGCTCATTTTTGTATTTAGACAATTGTCGTCGAGAGATTATGATGTACTAGCCCTTTAATTGTTCACCTTCGTTCATCTCCTGTTTTGCCTGTCGATGATTGTCGTCGTTCTTCGACCTTCGTCAATATGATTGTCTTCGACCTTCGTCAATATGATTGTCTTCGTTCTTCGTGTCGCACCCTCTGGGCACGAGGGAGTTTCTTGAACTCTGGAGTTCTAAACAGGCGTGGAGTTTTGCGAAATCTGGGAGTTCAAAACCGGTCTGAATTACGAACTTTTTTCACCATTGGCAAGTGAAAAAATCGGCGAAAGGACACTTGCATATCGAGCTTCATCACAAGAGGTAGATCTTGCATAGTTGCATGTAGATCGCGTAGTATGAGCTGCGTTGAAAGTCTGTTCGGTACCGTCTACAGTCATCAGCTTTCTCAGAACACAGAAAATACAGCAATTTCAATTGCATAGGATACAGAGCATTAAGGACCAAATATTTAACATAGCGCATCATTGTTTCCTGTTATTTCAACGTGACAAAACATTGAACTGCAGAAAAGAAGTAATTAAGAGAGCATGACGAAATCAAAAGAGAATACGAGTTAACAAACTACTAATCTATGTTTTCCTATCTATCTGCGAGGATGAGTGTCACGAGGATCGGCGGTGTTGGTAGCGACACGGGCCACATCACGAGCATCCGCCTCCGGTTTTTTCTTGGCGTAAAGAACCATGTACCCGATCCCCGCGACAACGAGAAAGCCGGCAGCGGCCATGGTCGGGGTGCTGAAAGGCATCTTCCTGCGCTGGTGAAGAACTCCACCGGGGTTCTGCCCCGGTGGCCGCTTCGAGCCTTCGACTCCGGCAGCTTTCACTTCTTCCGAGTTCATCTTGTGCGTGTCTGCCTGCTTCCTCCAGTCTCCTTCTCCGCCGCCTGCCATCTGGGTTTCTTCCGACGATGGTGTGACCAAAACCGAAAGTGAATCCATGGAAGCCTAGAATGAGGTTTAAAGGAGGAGCTGGAGAAGAGTTTTGGGCACGTGTTGATTGAAACACAGACGAACTTAACACGTGGCATTTGCATGCCACGGAGTCACCTGCGTCTTTGACAAATGGAACGAGGGGGTAAAGCATAAGAAAGGAAAGATGGGGGTGTAAAGTGAAAACTGGAAAAATAAAGAGGACTAGATGATAATTGTAGGAGCCGTTGTGATTGTACTCTTTTCATGCAGCAGAATCAGAGCCTGGCCAGAGGCCCAGAGCCCATTCTCATAACGGCTACTTCTTCTTCCTCCTCTGTCTCTTTCTCACTATAAAATGCTTTACCAATTTCACAGTTTGCACTCCACTTCGTCCGCAAACAATCAGCAACCAGCTACTTTGGCCTCCACCTCCCCCATTTCTTACATTACTACTTTGCCCCTTTCTATTTCACCATCTCCATGGCCGCCGCCGCCTCTCGGACAGCTTTTCTGCTCTCTTCTTCAGCTCTGCTGCTGCTCCTGTGCTTCTGCACAGAAGCGAAAGAGATAACAGTGGGAGGGAAGTCGGACGCCTGGACGATCCCATCGTCGGAGTCCGATTCCCTCAACAAATGGGCCCAACGCACCCGCTTCCGCATCGGCGACTCCCTCTGTTCGTTCTTTTCATCCTCACAATTTCCCAATTGAATTGACTACCTTAACTCTCTGTTTCTCAACTAATACACTCTCTCGTGCTTCTTGTTTTCCCAAAATTGCAGTGTGGAAGTACGACGGGACGAAGGACTCGGTGCTGGAGGTGTCGAAGAAAGCTTACCTCGCCTGCAATGTCAGCGAACCCATTGCAGAGTACAAAGACGGGGACACCAAGGTGAAGCTGGAGAGAGCCGGCGCGCACTACTTCATCAGCGGAGCTGATGGACATTGCAAGGAAGGTCAGAAGGTGATTATAGTTGTGTTGTCTCCCAGAACTGCTTCTCCTGCTCCTTCCCCTGCTTCTGAAGATGAAGACCAGTCGCAGCAGGTTATGTCTCCTGCTGTTGCGCCCACGAGCGCAGCTGCTGCTGCGTCCAGCTTCGGTTTTGCTGCTCGCCTGGTTTCGGTTCTGGGTTCCCTGCTGCTTCTCCATTGCTTCATGTTCTGATTCCTTTCGGAATGATGGGTGATGGGTTTCATTGTTTACCCCCGGAATGACATGTTTCTTGGGGAGGGTTGGTTAATTAGTTTATAATTCATTTGATTCATTTGTAGTAAATAGAGTGTCTTCGATTTCCTTATCTTTGCAACTTCAAAGCTAAGCAATTAAAAAAAAAGCACTTCAAAGATCATCAAACATGAAGAGTTGATACCAGGTTGGATTGGATGAGCTAAGTGCACAAATGGGAATCCAGAGTTCGAAAGAAGCAAACATCTGGTCGTGACGCTAGCAAGAAATAACATACTCAACAAGCTTGCTTCAATGAGAAATGTTTGAATGAATACCATACATCATCAGAAAGTGCAGCATTAAGAAAATTCTAACGTAATTGACCATGTCACCTGAGCTCAAATTTGTAGTTTGTACTATCCATAAGTGGTTAGAAACCTTACAGTTACAGGGGGGAAAATGAGACAAGGGGAGGTGGTCGACTGATTGGTCATGCATTTCTTCTCACGAGACTAATCCAGATTATACAGCAGCCACTCCCTTTCATCCTCTGGACAATATGAGTAAGTAAACTTGTTGATAAAATCATTGCAATACTGATGGCCTCCACAAAGGTTTTCTTGCTGTCAACTTCGCCACAAGATGAATAGAAAATGTCCAAGATGATCACTTTACATCTGCAATTCCATTCCATTCTTCTAAGAACCATGGACCCTCAACAAAATTTCAAATCACCAACATATCTTTCGCATCAAAAGCATTTGCAACAAGGTCTCCAGGTGAGGTGGCTGGATGAAATCAAATCACTGACAACTATGAATAAGCTGCATCTGCAGAGGAATCCACATTGCGACCATTGTAAACAATTAATAGTTCCTCACGAGACTAATATGAGTAAGTAAACTTGTTGATAAAATCATTGCAATACTGATGGCCTCCACAAAGGTTTTCTTGCTGTCAACTTCGCCACAAGATGAATAGAAAATGTCCAAGATGATCACTTTACATCTGCAATTCCATTCCATTCTTCTAAGAACCATGGACCCTCAACAAAATTTCAAATCACCAACATATCTTACGCATCAAAAGCATTTGCAACAAGGTCTCCAGGTGAGGTGGCTGGATGAAATCAAATCACTGACAACTATGAATAAGCTGCATCTGCAGAGGAATCCACATTGCGACCATTGTAAACAATTAATAGTTCCTCTGAATGTTCTGGATACATGAATATGAACTTTTCCACGAATCTTTCATTTGTAAGAGTCATAACAGTGCTAAAGCTTGGCTTCTTCTTGAACAGAAACTTTGATTCCATAGTCTTCAAAACTCGATATCGAGGAATAACTCTTCCCTCCATGCTATACATCAACAGTGCAGGACTACGAACCACCATCTCCTTTGTCAGATTCACGGTGTTCAAAAAGAAATCCACGCCAGAACTTAACTTCTCATCACAGCGACCCAGCACGGTCGGACCTCTTCTGAACATTGCAATGCATTCACTCCTTGAAAACCCAAAACCCTCGAATACAGCAAACTTCCGGTCAAGTGTTGCAACGCTGAAGGCACTAACAGCAGACAACCCATATATAAACATCCGTGATTCCACTGAAAACCCCAAACCCAACGTCCTCGAAACAATGTCTCTAACTTGACAATCTGTCCTAATGAACAACCTAGGCTGCATCTTCAACAGCATCGAGAGCTGAGACCCAACAATGCCATAGCTCTGCAACAAAGCAACGTTCGACAGCAATCTAGAATTTGGGTACATAAATGCAAGCCAACTGCATTTTTCAATAGCCTTAAGCACATCCTTCTGATGGAAAGTTTCCAGCAAAATATGAACTCGAGGACGCAGCTTCTTCTCCAGACTAGCAGCAAACACAGCACCATTCTTAGAGAGGAACTTAACAAGACGAGGACTCTCGAAACCCAATTTCTGAAACAGCTCGATCTTGGGTTTAAGGTTCTTGTCAACGTTAGCGAACAGAATCTGCGGAGCCCCAGAGACAGTAGACTGAATACAGTCAAGAGAGAACCCTAGGCCTCGCAGGAACGCGAACAAAGCTTGGGGCTTTTGGGAAGATTTGAGACGGGGAATTCGAGCAGCGATGGAGAGGGCTTTGGTTTCAGGGAATTCGAATTTTGTAATCAGACAGTCAACTAAACATGTAGAGCTTGAATTTGTTGACCTTCCTGCCAGTTCAGAGAAGGGGGAAATGGGGAAAACCCCCACCGGAATCAACCATCGATTTCCGAGACGGGAAGTCGATAGTGCCTTCAGCGCTAGCATTGTGAGTACAAAGTGACAGCGACGCGAGCTTCAGCGACCAGGTTCAGCCTCGGAGGAAGATGATGCCTTTTGACGCCAATGAATCAGAGACGGAGCGATGGCGGTCCGACCTTCGGTGACTAATGGCTAAATCCAGCTTCAGAGGAGACACGACGACCTTCGGAGGATGGCCAACACGCCGCTAAAAGCATATGACTTGGCGCCGCGGCCGATTGACGGAGCAACAAGAGCGTCGTCGCGATCAGGCAGCAGGCTATTTAGAACAGCAGGCGAAGCAGAAGCGAGTCAGTGAAATGTTCAAGAAATTAGAAACCCTACGGCTAGGGCTACGGCTCCACTCGGTCCAACCTCAATACACGAAACCGGCATAGGCGATTTTAGTGGTAGGAAGCTATTGAATCCGATATTACAAGATATTTTATTATTGATTTTTTCGGTATAATCTTCGATACGGAAACAACAACCAACAAATGAAAACTCCTTCTCTCGCATTCTTAAATTTTAATTTTTGCTCTCCCTTCTCTTTAACTCCAGCTCCACTCTTCCGCCTTCAGGGGCTGTCGCTGGCTCCCTTTGAGTGACCGGTGGCAGCTCACCTCCTTCTCCTTTCGCTTTATTTGTGCTTTTCTTGCCTTGGCGTTTGACGATTTTTCCTCGAACTTTTCGTTTTGATTCTTTTTCTCCTGTCGTTGTGGCCTTCCATTTTTCACTCTCTAGTCTAGTTGTTGCTCTTCGTTCTATATTGGGTTTCCTGTTATGGGCTAGCTCATCTTGGGATCTGGAGATTACAGGTTGGGATTGGGAACATTGATTCGCTCCTTGTGATGGTTGATTGCCCTAGTCTGGTGGTCTCATCGTCTATGGTGAAGTTATTCTCTACTCGTTTTTTTAGATTCACTGTGATTGATGTATTTGAGCAATCTACAGGATGAGACATATGACATTGTTGTACTCAATTGTCATGGATTTCGCTGTGATTGGACAAGTTGTTGCTGATCTCATTGCACCTTTGTTTGGTTGGAAGAAAGAGAGCTTGTGAGTGTGTTGTGAGTTGTGTTTGGTTCAAAAGCTTAGTTGTGTTTGGGTGGTTGATGTCATTTTGTTGCCTTGCTAATCTTTGATGTACCTTTCAAGCACAGTTTGATTTCAATCGGTTTTCCTGAGTTGCTTTGATCTTGGTTTAGATCCAATGTATTTATTTTTCCTCTCTGTAACCGATCTTTCAAAGTGCAATACTCCTTTGTATAAAAAAAAGCCTTTGATACGGTTTCACAATACTCGGATAATAGTATTGTTGTACTCCACTGTTAGTATGCAACTAGAATCAATACCTACGCCAGCTACACAACGTCGTAGGAACTAAAGCTGCACTTGCATGACTGTATGGTGGTTAATTAAGGTAACGGTAAATTACGGATCATTATCTTATTGGCAACCGTGTGTGTTTTAAAAGTTTTGAAAGTGTGTGTAGGAAACATTTGTATCCTGAGTTTCATAATTAATCAACATAGGAATAGCCCGCGAGACAACGGCAGGTGAGGCTAGAGCTATAGAAATTTAAGACCGCCAAAGTGTTGTGTGCCATCATATTCTAATGAGCTCATGATTAAGTGCAGAAAAGATATAGCCAACATTGAGTAACAATCTTTATATTAATCTAACGAATACCTTAATAATAGCATAAGGGTTAATATCATTTTGTGCCCCTCTACTACTGTTAATTAACAAATGTGCCCCGATACTATATTTTTGCACAAACATACCCTTCTATTATCACAACGTAACAAAAATAACCTTCCTTTAAAAATTATGTGAAATATCCGTTAAATGAATTGGAAAATGATCCAATTACCCCCTTAAACTGGAATTATAATATAATTATACTATATGCAGGCGGGATTAAAAAAACCCTAATCTAATTTCGTACGTCTCCTGAGCATCTTTGTCCATCGAGCTTCCCACTCCGTCGTCCACCTTCCCACCACGGCGCCCACCTACGGCGTTCTACTACTCCCTCGGCGACAGCCTACAGGCTACAACCCACAGATTCTCAAGCAGACGAATTTATTTTGGAGATAATAAATTAATAATTGACCATTCCTCACCTGCAATTCTCGGCCATAAACAAATTTACAACAGAAAACCCAATTTAGCCAAAAAATTTACAACACATCCTAGCCTGAAATTCTAGTAAGTTAAAAAAACCCATACTAATGCTTGTCCAATTCATCCTAAAAAGCTAGTTTCATTGAATTGGATTTAATAGAGCAATCTAGATTTAGGGTTCCAGAAAGTTTCACAATAAGCATAAGAGGAGGGGTGTGAATGTGGGACAATAGATCTCGGATTTTTCAAGTATTGCAGGTGATGGAGTCGGGCACAGATCGACAGAGGAGCGGTCGGGACGATGGAGGAGGAGGAGGAGGAGCGGTCGCGACTCGGGACGATGGAGGAGGAGGAGGAGTGGCTGGGACGACGGACTTCGATCAGAAAGAGGGAGAAATTTGCGCAGGAGTCTCTCGCTTCTAGTTGGATGCCGGGAGTCTCTCGCAATGAGCTGGGTGCGGGGACAAACGCGTTTCTTCAAGGGTCGCCGGTTGCAACTTCGTCGACAAAGAAGAAAGAGTTAGAAGGGGTAGAGATTTCTCGTCAGGCGAAGGGGGTGGATGGGATCATGGTATAGAATCACTTAGGGGGTAATTGAGTCATTTCTGACCCAACTTAACGGTCACTTCACAGAATTTTTAACGGAAGGGTATCGTCGTTATATTGTAATATTAGAAGGTTACGTTTGTGCAAAATTATAGTACAAGGGCATGTTTGTTAATTAGTAATAGTAGAGAGGCATAAAATGCTATTAACCCTAAGCATAATCTAAGAGTTTTTTACCAAATCCAATTTATTGACATAATTCTCTTTAGGAGATACGAACTCAAGACTACGTGTAAGAGTTTTCTACCGAAACCTTACAAATCTCTATTCAAGTTCATTTGTCTTCACCCCCTCCCCCCCCCCCCCAAATGTGAGCAAAATAAAATTTAAGTTTTACATCTCCAAGTTCAACCTTGGATTTATTCAGTTATTCTTAACCTTGGATTTATTCAGTTATTCTTTATTTGGATTGTCCTTCCATCCGCAAGGTTCACCTTCCTACTGAACTCCTTGGCTTGAATATATTCATAACAAAAATAATGAGAAATGATATACAAAAAGCAAGAACCATATGTTCCGAATGGATAGCTTCTTAGTTGAAATTGGCTATCTTCCATTGAAAGAAAATGGACCAATATAATTAAATACAAATGGTAGACAAACATCAATGACAACACTTCCAATAAGGGTATGAGTGACACATCCTTCTATGTATGCAAATTGTGTATAAATGAATACATGTTATGGAAATATGCTTGAAGGAAGAAGTACGCAAAGCAAGAATGATTATAAGCGCCTTAATAGAAGGGGAGTCTGTACTAAGCATCTCCAAGTATAAATGAACTCAAATATTCATGGAATGGGATACCTTCCTAGATCCCATTCAAATAGAACACCTGCAAACTGAAGCAGGTAAGAATATACAATATTAAATCCAGAATTGACAATATTAGAATTTAAACCCCTATATCTAGTCCAATAATGACAAATCAATCATATATATAGGCCAGGAAAATCCCATTTCACACTAGAAGGGTAAAGAAAACAGAGTTGCAACCTCTAGTTTGGTAAGTTCACTTTCTGATTCTGCAGCAACCTGTAATTATAAAATTATTTACAGTTCACTATCTAATCTACAATGGCAAGATCACACTTCATAGTAAGCTAAGTAGAATCACCCGTACCAAAGCTGAAAAGTTCCACCTACAATAACTTCATCTGTGAGGAGCCACCACCTGTAATCCCCAACAGTATATCCATTGACTATGACTATCCAAGATGACACCTCACATCAAATCAAGCTTCTACTCCCATCACCTGATCTGACTGTCAACTGAAAAGGCTTTTCATGTTGAATAGGACTGCGTTGTTTAATGGAGTTGCTCTCCAGCTGCAATTCCGTAGTTTCTTTTAATATCCGTTTCATGAGCCATCTTGTTTCCAGCTGTTTTTCGTAATCTCCTTGACCCTCTCCATGTAGGAGACTATCGATGGTTGCTTGCTTTGCTTCTCCAAATCTCTACAAAGTATGGTAAACCAATAATGCTGGGTTTTTACAATCTGTCATTAGTTCCTTCTAAATTAAGCACGTCAGACGACAATTTAGGTACAAAGTCATTTGAGAATCTGATATACCCACCTCCAAATACCAGTGACAGAGGACTCCCACCGCCCCTATTAAACAGATAAGAGAGTAGAGACTTCAGTCTTTAAGTTCAGACTCCAATCTTAGAGCAGCAGAAAAGGAAAAGAAAACCCGAGAGAAACAACACGGACCTGGCAAACCTCTAATTTGTTTAAATGTACAACAATAAAAACCATTCCCGCATCAAGTAATCATCAAATATGTAAGACTTATTATATAACTGAAACTGAACATGCAATGTATGTCCAGAGTCTCAAAATCATAACCTTAAAAAAGAAACTACCAATTTATGCAAGTTTTGTTCATAGTAGTGGTGGCTATACGGTCCGATCTGGTTAAATTGGCCCAAATTGATCTGGTCCAGTCCGGTCTTTTTGAAAATATAAGGACCAAAGATTGGATTGGATACAGTTCGGTATTGATTCGGTCCGGTCTTGACCCGGGCCGGTCCCAATTCGGTCTTGATTTTATATTGAGCTTGTGGGGATTTGAGTGGCCTAAGGCCTGAAAGGGTGAGGAGTTGGTTAATTTTTGTACTAAGTGCAAAGGTTTGTGACCATTTATGCAAATTACCCTTAAGTTTTGGGTGTTGAGCTCTCTTATCCGGTCTTTATCCAGTTTAGATCCGGTCCCGAACGGTTTTTTTACCTCAAATCTAAGCCCAAAGATTGGATTGGATTGTTTACTATCCGGTCCAGGTCCGGGTTATACGGTCCGGTTTCGGGTAAAACCAAAAAACCCGGACCAAATAGCCCGCCCTAGTTCATAGAACTAAATGGCTATAATTGAAAGGAATGTTCAATGATTTTGGCACTTCATTCTTGCAAGATCAACGACACAATGTATCATTACATAGCAGGACATCAAGCAATGCTTTTGTCTCGTGTAGAGCTAGAATCTTTTGAATTTTTGGGGTGGCTTCTTTAGAGTCTTTTAGGGGTCCGGGTAGAATTGTAAGTTTAACTATTATTTTCCATTGATATCACTCAGAAATAATTAAAAAAAAAGCAATGTCTAATTTATTTAGTACTTAGGTTGTTAGAGGAACTGCAATCTAATTTGAAGGGGTTAAATACCTAATGAATTGTCAAGGTGTTGTCCCACCCTACATATCCATTTCTCCAAGCTTAAGTTTCTTATCGAAGTCCTTGCTTTCGACAATCACCACTGTGGCTACACTGTCCACCCTCATGTCTGCAGCTAAAGGTTCCAAAAGGAAACAAAGCACCCATATTTAATCAAAGGTAATTCACACACAAAATAGCAATTTGGAGATATGTAAATCCTCCTACCTTCCCTGCAGCCTCCGCTGCTTTACACGAATGTGGTTAATATCTACCTGCACGGCAGCATAAGGGCTTTAATTACTCATGAAATTAAATCAGAATAGGCAAGAACGATGCTCGAAATAAGTACAATATTAAAATAAATAGCATTTACCTGAAGATTGACATTCAAGCCATTCTTGTGTCTCGTTCTCGTGGAACAGATTTGAACGCGTCTCCTCCCTCTTTTTCGTGTCTCCCTGTCTGCCCCGCACTGAAGTTCGCCGATCAACTAAGGCCACAATTGAGATCCAAACACGTCAGGCGAGGAAACCAAACAGCCACCAAACCATTAAAAACTCTAGTGGCCTGGATATGGAGAAAAGAGAGGAACAAAAGTCCAGACAAGCAAAACGGAAATCGATTGTATAAGTGAAAACCATACCGACCGTTGCTGAGATGTGAAAGTCCAACACCTTCGCCGTCGTCAGCATTCTTGTCATCGTTGTGACCTTCCACGTCAGAGCTGCTGTTGATAGACCTCGACCAGAGAGAGTGGAAAGAATCGACAAAAATCAACTATTTTGCTCGACTCTTCTCTACGAGCGAACTTTCGTCAATCACCTACGGAAAAATCAATGATCCTTGCATCTGGTCCTCCCTGGGAGGATTCTCACCATCGTTGCCGCTGATTTTTTCCCAACGACATGAGTCGAAGAGAGAGGAAGAACCGAAAAGATTGGGATATGGATGAGAGTGGGAAAGCAAGGAGACGGGAAAAAGGACTGATGGGATGGAGATATTATTTTGTGGAAGAAAAACAGCAGCGGGCCAAAGGGGTCGTAAATGTAACGCACAAAAGGGGCCAAAACTTCTTTCAAAAGCATGGAAACCAGAGAGGACAACTCTTCACCCAATGCACAGTGGAGTATTTGTTGAATCAGTACAATCAGTTGCTGGTGTCGTGTCCAAGCAGCTGTGACGGATGGGAAGGTGGTGTGTCCAAAGAGCTCTCTGCAAAAGCGGCAAGGGCGTAGCGTGCAGGATCATACAGAGAGGAGGCAATTGGAAGAAGGACAGTGAAGTTGACAGAGGAGCAGGGGGAAGGTATGGTCGCCCAGCGCAACAGCCAATAACTTCTGGTGGGTCGGAGCGGTCACAAAATGTCGGGTTTGAAAGAAGCTCTCCAGGAAAAGGTTTTAGGTTTCAACTCACTAAAGGCCAAGAATTGAAACAGTAGCAAGAAATTTTGGCAAAAAGTGTACCCACTAATTATATGTAAGAAGAATGACTATTTTTGGCTTTTTGTTTACTACTTTCCGCCTTAAATAATTTGCAAATTCAAATAAACACAAAAATCTCTCTCTCCTAATCACATCGTAAAAATCCGTATCACCTCTGCTCCGCATTGTTACGTAGCATATTCAAACTTTATAATGATGCCATTCAGAACCACATTAAAAGTAGTTACTAACCATATTAAGTAATCGAATTCACAACTCACGAACATCGTTACTTGTACGAGAAAATCATTGATACCCCATACTAGAAATCAATTAGAACTTTAGTAATAAGCATATAAATGATTACCAACCAAACTAAAAAAAAAATCACAACCAGATTCATAAACATTGATATTTAGCAACATTCTATGTTGCTACTCATATTGGATAACTTCTTGCGCACTTTGTCGAATAGAGCTACGGGGCTACCTTGTTCTGAGCTTTCCTGCATGACGAATAAGTTGACATGGAGTCATAATATGTTGACCACAGGCATAACAAAATCAACTTCAAAGGATCGAACCTTACCCGGAAAATCTTCCTTTTTACTGCCACATCAAATGGTGTATATTTCCAAGCATATGAGGGCTATCTCCAGTTGAAAGGGTATTCACATAACATGCCATGCTAATTTCCCCTACAAATAGGCAAATAACAGAAAAACTAGCCATCAAGGAGCATGGAAACTGCGCAAAACGGCACAATCCCTCTGGCAATTGAACCTCGAAAGTGTTTCTCAGGACGGTCATCCTCCGACTGCTTTCTGCAGCACCATCATGAGACGATAATACCGAGAGCATCAACACTGCCATATGCTTATCAAGAGCTGAGCAACACAAGAACAAGACAGAAATTGTCAACTCCAGTGTTAGTGTGTTACCAGCATGTCAATTCGGCCCAGATTACTCCAGAAACGTGTATATACCATGGAACATGTTAGAAACACCAGCTAAGGACCAGGTTCGGCTAAACAGTTAATGGCAACAGAAGGTCGAGCAATATCAAGCAAGGGTATGGGCAAATAGACTCTTGACTTGCTGTCGCAGAAGGACCAAGTACAGAAAGGAGATGGGCAAATAGACCATAGGCTCCTAAATCACCATACAGGGCTCTGAGGCCTCAAGTTGACTTGACACTACTAGTAGATAAACCACATTAGCTTCTACACCAATTCTAATAATCGTTTTCACCGATTTTGATGTTATTAATCCTGAAGAGGCAATGCTTCCGACACGTGCTCCCCGTGTAAGTTTCGGAATGTATCTCAAAGCACAGCACATGCATAAGTTTTTTACAAGCTTGCTATAAAGAAAAGCCCTAAGCACATATCCCGTGTGGTGTTGCCTCTCTTTGTGGAATTTAATCATCAGATATCAAACAGAGAGCATCTCTGACAAACACAGAGAAACATAAAGATGGAAAGATATTGGATTCTTCCACTTTGACTGGATTTCCCATGAGTCTGAAATATTCAAAAGTTTCAAACCAATTTGACACTTACATTCACCATAAACCACAAGAAGTTCAAACAACCAAGGAGTATAGCTGAACAACATGAGGTCTTGCTAAGAGAATTCGCAGATGTTTACCAGAACATATGATGAAATTAGTCCCCAGGTGCTTCTTCCTCATCTGTTGTGCCACTGTCAATTTGTATGGGTCCTTTGAAGCTGCCTGCTTACGCTCCAACAATCTCACAGACAGCTTTCTCCAAGAATTCTTTCGTAGCAGCATGCACAGAATCCGATGAAGGATACTTTTTCTTCTTTGGCATGCTTGTTTCAGTATATTTCTTTATCGACTTTCTCCTCTACTAAAACACCTACCAGGAATAAGGTCAGGCAAAGAATGTTGAAGTGGGTGGCAGTCTGGTCACAAAATCATTGCATCAACAATATTGACGGGCATCGACAAAAGTTTTTTGCTGTCATCTTCACCGCATGATCAAATTAGTTTCTAGCACCCAGTCAATCATCATTGACAACCCAATCATAATACCAAGAACACACATTGTTTTTCTTAGTTCGATGTACTAATGTTACAGGACAATAAAATAGGAAATGCCCAACATTTCAAATCGCAATACCTTACATCAAAAGCTTTGGCAACAAGCTTGGAGCCTCATCCAGGTGAAGTATCTGGATCAGATTCAAACACTGACACCTATACACAAGTTGATACCAGGTTGGATTGGATGAGCTAAGTGCACAAATGGGGATCCAGAGTTCGAAAGAAGCAAACATCTGGTCGTGACACTAGCAAGAAATAACATACTCAACAAGCTTGCTTCAATAAGAAATGTTTGAATGAATACCATACATCATCAGAAATTGCAGCATTAAGAAAATTTTAACCTAATTGACCATGTCACCTGAGCTCAAATTTGTAGTTTGTACTATCCATAAGTGGTTAGAAACCTTACAGTTACAGGGGGGAAAACATAGACAATGAAGGGGAGGTGGTCGACTGATTGGTCATACATTTCTTCTCACGAGACTAATCCAGGTTATACAGCAGCCACTCCCTTTCATCCTCTGGACAATATGAGTAAGTAAACTTGTTGATAAAATCATTGCAATACTGATGGCCTCCACAAAGGTTTTCTTGCTGTCAACTTCGCCACAAGATGAATAGTAAATGTCCAAGATGATCACTTTACATCTGCAATTCCATTCCATTCTTCTAAGAACCATGGACCCTCAACAAAATTTCAAATCACCAACATATCTTTCGCATCAAAAGCATTTGCAACAAGGTCTCCAGGTGAGGTGGCTGGATGAAATCAAATCACTGACAACTATGAATAAGCTGCATCTGCAGAGGAATCCACATTGCGACCATTGTAAACAATTAATAGTTCCTCTGAAAGTTCTGGATACATGAATACGAACTTTTCCACGAATCTTTCATTTGTAAGACGCATAACATAGCCAAAGCTTGGCTTCTTCTTGAACAGAAACTTTGATTCCATAGTCTTCAAAACTCGATATCGAGGAATAACTCTTCCCTCCATGCTATACATCAACAGTGCAGGACCACGAACCACCATCTCCTTTGTCAAATTCACGGTGTTCAAAAAGAAATCCAAGCCAGAACTTAACTTCTCATCACAGCGACCCAGCATGGTCGGACATCTTCTGAACATTGCAATGCATTCACTCCTTGAAAACCCAAAACCCTCGAATACAGCAAACTTCCGGTCAAGTGTTGCCACGCTGAAGGCACTAACAGCAGACATCCCATGTATAAACATCCGTGATTCCACTGAAAACCCCAAACCCAACGTCCTCGAAACAATGTCTCTAACTTTACAATCTGTCCTAATGAACAACCTAGGCTGCATCTTCAACAGCATCGAGAGCTGAGACCCAACAATGCCACAGCTCTGCAACAAAGCAAGGTTCGACAGCAATCTAGAATGTGGGCACATAAATGCAAGCCAACTGCATTTTTCAATAGCCTTAAGCACATCCTTCTGATGGAAAGTTTCCAGCAAAATATGAACTCGAGGACGCAGCTTCTTCTCCAGACTAGCAGTTAACACAGCACCATTCTTAGAGAGGAACTTAACAAGACGAGGACTCTCGAAACCCAATTTCTGAAGCAGCTCGATCTTGGGTTTAAGGTTCTTGTCAACGTTAGCGAACAGAATCTGCGGAGCCCCAGAGACAGTAGACTGAATACAGTCAAGAGAGAACCCTAGGCCTCGCAGGAACTCGAACAAAGCTTGGGGCTTTTGGGAAGATTTGAGACGGGGAAATCGAGCAGCGATGGAGAGGGCTTTGGTTTCGGGGAATTCGAATTTTGTAATCAGACAGTCAACTAAACATGTAGAGCTTGAACTTGTTGACCGTCCTGCCAGTTCAGAGAAGGGGGAAATGGGGAAAACCCCCACCGGAATCAACCATCGATTTCCGAGACGGGAAGTCGATAGTGCCTTCAGCGCTAGCATTGTGAGTACAGCGACGCGACCTTCAGCAACCACGTTCAGCCTTCAGAAGAGACGCGGCGGCTTAGAGAAATTCGACGCGATTCGCAAAACATGGGAGTTTCCATCAAAAAATTCGGCGGCCAATCGGCTATGGAGGAGACGGTTTGGGCGGGTTGGGTTCCGGGCTGGATTTAAGTTTGGGCTTTATGCCTTATAGTGGAGTTGAATGAGACCTAACGAGTTATGTTCGTAAGCTGAAAAATGAAAACCTAGCTATGACACCTTCGCCAAAGTCATTTTAAAGGGGCTAAGCTTCTTATGTATAGATTGTATTTTTGGCACCCATGCCAATTTATAGGCCAATACTACAGTGCCGCTATTAAAATCGCGGCACTGGTGCCGCTTAATTTTAATTGGTCCACTTATACAACCAGAAAATGACGTGGACTCCTTAAATTTATTAAAACCCAGCCCAAACCCATCGGTCATTAATCACCCACCCACCCATGACCCCAAACATCTGCCCATCCCGCCAATTGCTAAATTGTTTGTTCTGTTTTTTTTTTTCTCGATCAATCCACTCTTTTTACAATCAGAGATTGAGAAGTAACAGAGACAGTTCTGTGTCTCTCTCAGCCTCCCTCTCCGTTGCTCAAAACACCTAAAGTTCCGGCGATTTGTCCAACGGTCGCTCATGCCCATCCTCCGTCTCCGTCGAACTGATTCACCGCAATCGGATCCACATGATCCCAAGCCAAACCGAAATATAAATGTCCTCCGACTGCGTCACAAACCTTGTCGGATTGGATTCCTCGCCCTTCATTTCAGGTCTAGAATCCCATGGACGCAGACTATTGAATCAGAATACTGTGGCGGCAGCCTTGTCTGAGCTGTGTTTGGGCTAGGCTCGCGTATGGCAGAATCTGGAGAATGAATCAAAGAAGGAGAAGCTCGTCGGAATTGCTGCTTATAGTCCGTCGGAGCAAGAGAGAGAGGGAGACAACAAATTGCATCTGTTTTGGGTTTCTTTTTCTGTTCCCGGAGAAAATCAAAAGTGAGAAGAATTATAAATTGATTAATGGGTCAAGGAACAGTTTATTAAAATGATAAACAGATTCGGAGATGGAAGACGGAAGAGACGGAAACAGAGAAATCTTCGATCATCTGGCCAATAGCAATTTCTGCCGGTTAGTGGTTAGTTGGTTATTGAGTTTGTTGTACGGTTTAATACATTCAATCAGTGTCATGTCATCATCGATGTGGACCAATCAAAAATCGCGGCACCGGTGCCGCCATTTTTACTGCGGCACTGTAGTATCGGCCCAGTTTATAATAAACGAAGTGATTAAGGGTTTATGTTGGGCTGGGTAGGATTCTCTCTAAAGCCCAAGGCCCATAAAGACCCTAGGCCCAAAAGGCCCACTCAGACGAGCCTGCAGCCACTCAAACGGCGCGAGGCGTGGTGAGAGTGGGACCACGAGACCCTGAGCGTGGAACAGAGGGTATGGCTGATGGGACGAGCAAGGACAATCATGCGACAGCTGACAGGAACATTAAATGCGGCCGCAAGCATAATCTCGGGATCATCCACAAAGTACAAGCGCGGAAGAGAACCAAGAGAGAGAGGAACCAACATCCACTATAAATACAACAGGGACACAACATTTATTGGTAACTAACCTACCCACATTCTCTCTCTATATTCTCTCTCTTCAACTCTGACTTAATCTTTGGAGAGTGTCCGAGGCAAACGCCTCCGGACCCCTTCTGCAGGAACGAAGTCCCCACCATCCGAAGGGAAGGCGTGATTCCAGCTTAATCAGTCTCCAACCTGCCTGGTACATCCTAGGCTTAAACAGTTTATTTATGGGTGCGAGATCTGATTACATTTAAGATTTTAAGTGATCAAATAATATTACTCAATTGTATACGACATAAGAGAATATTGAAAGAATCTGAAAATGAATGTTGTACTTAGAGCAAAGAATTAAAAAAGACAATAAAAAAAAGGAACAAACAACCATATCAAGCAAGTGAAGCACGTAAAAATAGTAAACCCAATGTACAAACATTGGAAAAGAGATTCAACAAATCAACACCAAAGCCATCTATTTATTGGTAAACTGGGTACACATGGAAGATAACTCTGAAGAAAAGTATATTCTTATTTATTTATTAGGAATTCACAGCAGCATCATAAAGTTTCCGCAAAAATTCAAAAAAATTACTCAGGATTCAACAATGGTCACAATTACACAGCCATTATCAGCAAAATCTAATTGGGAACTACAAATTTATATTGTGAGTACATTTTCTCATGCACAAAACAAAACTATACACTTATAATGAAATGAAGACAATGACAATTATTACCTCACGCTTGCTATGTTACATCAAAGCGGCTATAGTTCACCGTTCTATTGGCATCAAATTAGAACGAAAGACGACGAAGTATGTGAAATACAGGGAAATGTAACAAAAACAAAACAGTTCAGGCATGCAGTGATGGAGGGTAGAACCAAAAGAACTTATCTTTCTGCGCAATGAGAATTCCATTTTTTAATCTGGTAGTAAGTTTCAGCAACGGAGAAAAGAGAGATAGAAAGAGAACGAAAGATGCAGAAAATCATTTCTAGTGTTACTGATACCTTCACATTTTCACTTCATGAATTCTCCAGAAGTGTCGTCGCTGCAACAGCAAATGTCGCCGCCTCCACTTCGATCGGTTCCCCGACTGTTCAAGTAATTGTCCCAAAATTTCACTTATGCCTTGTGCTTCTTTCGGTTGGCTATTGATTTGTTC